CAGGGAAGTCCGGGTGCCAGAGAGTTGGTGGTAGGAAGTGGCGTCCTCTGGTCCACACAGCGTGTCACTTCAAAACACTGGCATGGAAGACGAGGCCGGACAGTGATACTTGCTGACAAAGCTTCCGTCCAAAGATTTTTAGTGACAATATTGGCAATGAAGATATCAATGAATGAGGAACAAGAAAAACAATGTAATTTGGCGAAGAGGAAGTATAATATTACTACGAGATATTAATAAACAAAATATTTTTGCGAATACTGATAAAGGAATAAATAAAAAAAACTTAGTAGAATGGTGAAGTGACAAGAAAAAATAGGAGGAGGATTCTGAAGATTCAAAAGGGCATAATAGGAACGAAAAATAATGTAGAGTAAATATATATATTACATGATTAGTTGAATCTAATAAAACAATGAGGTGGAAAAGTCAAACACAGGAAGATATTTTGCTAAGAATGAAGAGTGAGTAGCCGGGAGACTGACGGTGAAGGAACAGTGATATTAACGGCAAGCATCAACTTGTGCTGACTGAAGGAGACAGTAACACTTGATCGACTGAATACTTTGATAGTGGTGACGGAGGCAGGCGCGAGGCCAAAATGGTCGAGGCTTGTATGTCAACCTCTGCACGACAGGGTGTCTTAGGGGGCGAGCTGGGGGGAGGGAGTGTGGGGAGGCACATGGTGAGTGACTGTCATCTGAAGGAAGAGAGAAGATGGTCACCTTGAAGTCTTAAGAAGGGGGTTAGGTAGAGGGTGGCACTGGCAGAGCAGGGAAGCGTCTTGAGGGTTTGTCAACTCGTTCTCTCAAATAATACACCACAGTTTGTACGCTGTTCCTCAACGGACAATAATACGGGGTTCTATGAAATGTTAGCTAAACGAACTATGGGATTCAGTTCCAAAACCAATTATGTGCATCTGTAACCCTTTCCATTACCGCCCACAGGGTAGGTATGGGGTGCATAATAAATATATGAGTAATAAATAAATATGAAAAGTTGCAGCTCGCAAATAGCCAACCCTCCCCCACACTGCCCACTACCTACCCTCCCCCACACTGCCCACTACCTACCCTCCCCCACACTGCCCACTACCTACCCTCCCCCACACTGCCCACTACCTACCCTCCCCCACACTGCCCACTACCTACCCTCCCCCACACTGCCCACTACCTACCCTCCCCCACACTGCCCACTACCTACCCTTCCCTACATGTGTAGTCGCATGTGGGGGAGGGGACGGTGGCAGTCTAAGGTTCGCGCGTTTTAGCAACATGTATTATGTTTGTTGTGGCAACTTAAGGGGGCGAGTTGAAATAATAGGAAGGTAAGAGAAGACATGCGAGGGTGAGCGGGTAGGTGTCTAAGCCGGAATAATGCCATCACTGGAGCCGTACAAAGAAAATCATCTAACCTTTGCGTTAACAATCTCGATTTTGCCAGATTGAATGCCCGAGGCACAAACGAAAAAGAGGGTCTTATTCCTAGCGGTGAGGCGCACTTAGTCTGTCTCCTGTCCGAAGGACAGGAGACAGAAGAGGGTTTGCACAATCCCAGTCCAACTGCCATTAGGGTCATTGGAGCACAAAATACTTCTCATCACGAAAAGGTATGAAGGTATCATGAAGGAGGGTGAGTATGGGTTGATGGAAGGTAGGGTGGTGTAGAGAGGAAGATGGCTGGGTGGAGGAGATCCGAGAGGGTGAGATAGAGGGATGTGATAGGATGGGCGAGATAGGGGTAATAGGTGGGAATGCCGCAAGGCAGCACGATAGACGCGAATGTTAGGAAGAATCAAGTGGAGGCGTGATGCGAGGATGTGAACCGTAGGTGTATGTTGCATGTTGCTTAGATAACTCACTAGAGGCGAGAAGGCCGAGACACAAACATCACGGGGCGGGGAGACGCACAACATAAGGGTTGGGGAAGATTAGCAAGAGAAAGGGTTGGGGAAGATTAGCAACGAAGGGGTGGGGGAGATGAGCAACAAAGGGGTGGGGAGAAAAAAGGGGTGTGGGGGATTAGCAACAAAGGGGTGGGGGAGATTAGCAAAAAGGGGTATGTGGGGAGATGAACAAGATGGTGAAGGAACGAACACCAGGAGAGTGGGCAAACGAGCATTAAAAAGATGGAGATGAAAAAAAGTGTTGGGGAGATGAACAAAGATTGAGGGAGATACCTTGTATAAAATCCTACTACAGAAAATGGTGGAGAGATTAAAGTTTAACTGGGGTAGCGAGGAACTAAGGTAGTGAGTGAAGATAACGCCTGGAGTAACTAAAGAAGGAAGTGTTGTGTCAGAGTAATTAACACTGGAATGCATTAGGAAGTGATGTGGTGGAGGCAGATTCCATACAGTTTCAAATATAGATATGACTGAGCCCAATAGGCACAGTACCCTGTACACTAGTTGCTTAAGAGTTGAGAGACGGGACCAAAGGGCCGACGCTAAACCCCTGCAAGCACAATTAGGTGAGTGCTCATGCATACGTTGCATATATCTAAGCAATAATTCATGACCTAGAGAATAAACAGACTTACAAAGCACCGCTGGCCCGCCATTCAACGGGTCAAATACTGATAACGTACCACTCACATTATGGCTGGAGCCGCTAGACTTATCTGGAGCTTGAGCTGGTCAAGCCACAACACCAGGCACCAGCGGAACACACGTCATCCTGCCGATATAAACAGGAAACACACACACCAACCTCACCAATTACTTCAGTGTTCTAACTTAAACAAAACCATCTGGCCATGAGTGCTTGAGGAGGTCCTTCATTTAAGGGGAAATTAAAGTAATATTTGTAAAATAAATACTGTACCAAGTTCCAAAGATCACTAAAACGCTTGGATGACAAGTGTCCAGGAGGATGACAGGTGTCCAGGAGGATGACAGGTGTCCAGGAGGATGACAGGTGTCCAGGAGGATGACAGGTGTCCAGGAGGATGACAGGTGTCCAGGAGGATGACAGGTGTCCAGGAGGATGACAGGTGTCCCTGAGGATGACAAGTGTCCCGGAGGATGGCAGGTGTCCCGGAGGATGGCAGGTGTCCCGGAGGATGGCAGGTGTCCCGGAGGATGGCAGGTGTCCCGGAGGATGGCAGGTGTCCCGGAGGATGGCAGGTGTCCCGGAGGATGGCAGGTGTCCCGGAGGATGGCAGGTGTCCCGGAGGATGGCAGGTGTCCCGGAGGATGGCAGGTGTCCCGGAGGATGGCAGGTGTCCCGGAGGATGGCAGGTGTCCCGGAGGATGGCAGGTGTCCCGGAGGATGGCAGGTGTCCCGGAGGATGGCAGGTGTCCCGGAGGATGACAGGTGTCCCGGAGGATGACAGGTGTCCCGGAGGATGACAGGTGTCCAGGAGGATGACAAAGTGTCCATTACAAGAGAAACTTATTGAAAAGACAGCTTAGTATCCTGGTCCGAGGGCGTCTTATCCAGGGAAGTCCGGGTGCCAGAGAGTTGGTGGTAGGAAGTGGCGTCCTCTGGTCCACACAGCGTGTCACTTCAAAACACTGGCATGGAAGACGAGGCCGGACAGTGATACTTGCTGACAAAGCTTCCGTCCAAAGATTTTTAGTGACAATATTGGCAATGAAGATATCAATGAATGAGGAACAAGAAAAACAATGTAATTTGGCGAAGAGGAAGTATAATATTACTACGAGATATTAATAAACAAAATATTTTTGCGAATACTGATAAAGGAATAAATAAAAAAAACTTAGTAGAATGGTGAAGTGACAAGAAAAAATAGGAGGAGGATTCTGAAGATTCAAAAGGGCATAATAGGAACGAAAAATAATGTAGAGTAAATATATATATTACATGATTAGTTGAATCTAATAAAACAATGAGGTGGAAAAGTCAAACACAGGAAGATATTTTGCTAAGAATGAAGAGTGAGTAGCCGGGAGACTGACGGTGAAGGAACAGTGATATTAACGGCAAGCATCAACTTGTGCTGACTGAAGGAGACAGTAACACTTGATCGACTGAATACTTTGATAGTGGTGACGGAGGCAGGCGCGAGGCCAAAATGGTTTGGAACCGACTACATAATGCTCAATAAATATTTACGGCATATGATTCAAGAGTATCGGAGATATCTCACTTAAAGAAATCGAGTTTAAAACTATCAAGTTGTTTGGCATAAAAAGATTAAAAAACGAAAAAAAATTGGCTTGACTTCACTCGCGCCAATTAAAAGAAAAACGTCTGAAAGTGAGCGATCAAAAATACAGATAGCTAAGGTAACAGAACCATGTCTGCTGCACACAATTATTCCAAAGGCAAGGCTAAAGAACACGCATGTGGAGTGATGCAGACCAGTTATCTCACTCCACTGTAGAAATATGGAGGGATTTTTGTCTGATAAGGCACGGGAAAGAAAAAGAAAAGATTAAGGTAAACTTTTTGTACTAAAATACTTTATGTACACAGGAATTTATGTAGCCACCCTAGACTATATGGTTACATAGCATGTATTAAGAGCTAACTGTAATACTTAAAACCCCATCTCACAGGAGGGTTAGTCACAAAGGGGTAAGAGGTTCAGCACTGCCAGACTTTGCACCCGGTCCCGCCGGTGATACGCGTACTAGTGGCTGTACAAGAATGTAACAACTCTTGTATATATCTCAAAAAAAAAAAAAAAAAAAAAAAAAAAAAAGATTCGTATTTTGTATTATTAGAATCCTCAAAATGACATACTAAAAACCTGGAGCAGGAACTACGCAACCTGTACTAAACCTAAATAATCAATCCGAGGCCAAATATACTACATCTTAAGCCTAGAATAGTATTTTATATGCTATATTAGGCCTAAGAAAGTTTAGGTTTGGTTGTCATCTTTGTCTTGCCTTCCACAAAATTAACAGTACACAACGTGAACTTCTGCGGGTCTAACAGTTAATTTTTGTACGTTCGACCAATATTTGCTAGAAACACTACCATTTTTGGATAGGTTGTGAAATCAAGAAAGCCGTGCGGAAGGCAGACCTCGCGTGGTGCGGACGAGAGAAGGCAGACCTCGCGTGGTGCGGACGAGAGAAGGCAGACCTCGCGTGGTGCGGACGAGAGAAGGCAGACCTCGCGTGGTGCGGACGAGAGAAGGCAGACCTCGCGTGGTGCGGACGAGAGAAGGCAGACCTCGCGTGGTGCGGACGAGAGAAGGCAGACCTCGCGTGGTGCGGACGAGAGAAGGCAGACCTCGCGTGGTGCGGACGAGAGAAGGCAGACCTCGCGTGGTGCGGACGAGAGAAGGCAGGTTCAATATAAATCATAGACTTAGTTGGGTGCTGACAGTTGGTGCTGACTCACTCTGGAGGCTCGTTGTCCCGCCTCCTTTACCCTAACTTCACGCTTATCTGGATAGCTCTTCATTTCTTCACATCCTCTTCGCTTATATGATATTTCCGCCTACCCTCCAAAATTTATACCAGTAATAGGAACGTTTGGCTGAACGTATAAACATGCACTGTTGTGTACAAAAATAAAGATCACGTTTTGCACAACTGGAATACCACAAAGGGGCACGACAAAAACTTTAACAGTAGCTATACAACCTAACCTGTCCTAGGCCTAAATAAGCAATCATAGGTATAATACACCCCATCTTAGGCTTAATTTAGTGCATATGTATTATACTAGGCCTTGGTAAGCTTAGTTTTTGTTGTTGTCGTCTTTCTCTATGATCTAGATCAAATCTACACTGATTGGTCATCTAATCCTGTCAATGGCAGGGCTGGTGCAGCATACACTGCAATTAGGAATAAGGCCTTTCAAAGCAGAAATGAAGAAAAAAGCACGTATTGAGAACTATGTTTCTTCAACGCAAGCAGAGCTAACTGCCATTGTTATGGCGTTAAGATCCCTTGAACGGATCACTAATGGCGCAGTGATTTGCACCGATTCAAAAGCAGGACTTCAAAGCCTTAGTAAAAATCGGGCAGAAAATCTTGCGACGCTGAAATTAAGAGATCTGTAAGGGTACTAACCAACCAGGTTTCGTCAAGTCGTTTTAAGTCGTCAAGTTTCTGTGGATCCCCTCCCATGTTGGAATATGTGGGAATGAACGAGATGTGCTGGCTGCTGAAGATGACCATATTGAATACTTCATACCCATGACTTCTACAAATTAGACGTATTGTTAGGCAACATCACCGTGACAAGGTAACTGAGGAAAGGAGGATAGGAGCACAAATCAATGAATTTGTACGATGGTACAACATGGTTGCAGCTGGCAATCCCAATCCTTATGGACGAAGAAGAGGAGGACGCGGGAAAGAATCAGTAATAGCGAGAATCCGTCTTGGATACAAATATCAATGGAGATTCGGAATGAAAACAACAGCTTAGCAGCGGAGTTGCAGAATCTGTGGTGAGAGTGACGGACACCGCCTTGACCACTATCTACGTGACTGTGAACACCCGACACACATTAGAAATATGTGTAGGATAATAAACCCCACATTGTTTAAGTTAGGAAAACACTGTTTGTCAAATATTGATACTGTTCTTAAAAGATTCCCCCATTTTGCACCCGCAAGATAACATAACATTTTAAGGGTTGACAGATATTAATCTTCTTGTTTGAGGAGCTGTTCACTTGAGACAGTTAAGCAAGTCCCAGCTGTGTCTGGGTACAAGTGACAGAATGAACAACCCAGCGGGTTTTCTTCCTATTGGGGAGTGTTGCACATGCTGCTAAGGCGCTATGTCCACTCACAAGATGAGTGGCGCTGCCCAATAAACTCGCCCCTCGGGGGAAAAAAAAAAATAAAAAAAAAACACTCGTGCCCTCTTCAAAATGTGTTTTTTTTTTGGCGGAGAAACATTTGTATACCTTCTTTCCACAATTCCCAAATAAGTATTATCATATCTGTATGGTTATGCTTCATTACTCCTGCCGATTTTCTCATTTATACAATGCGTTAATGTAATCTAATTCTGCATTCATTTGCCTATCTTGCCTCCCCTCACTCGTCCAGTGAAGAGCCTCATAAAGCCTTTGACATTTTAGATGTACTTTTCGGTAAAAGCAAATCGCAAGCACAAAGTGTTTCCGTCATGTGTTCAAAAAATAGGTCAGTAAAATATCACGAAATTAGGAGAGACGAGACCTAAGGTACAACAGACTGCCGAGTGTGGAGACTCACACTATAACCTTTCCATATTACTCCTGATCCAGCCCTCACACTTATGGCATCGTAATGTTTACGTTATCGACCACAGCTTCAAAATTCCAGTATTTTAGTTAAATTAAAAACGCCGTAATATTTACGCTTTCTAAGGCTTGTGAGCATGGACTTGGATAGGTTGGGTAGTTGGCCCTAGGTTCGAACGCTTCTGGTTATGTACAACCACTTCAAATCTGACGCTTGTCAGAGAAAGTCGTGAGAAAGAGTTGGAAGTGGACACAATGGCTAAACGTTGTATAAATTACGGTGCGGGTCAGAGCTCGTCTTCCGCGCAAGGCAGAAACTTTCGCAGACAAACAGTAATGTCTCGTCATATTCCCTAAGAACTATAACAACACAAACCTACAAACCACATTAAAGAATGTAATTATTTTTTATTAAAGATAAAAACATTATTAACACTATCTTCCAACTATTTAACACTAAAGAAAAAAAATACTAAATCAACAGTATTTGAGATAAAATATTACATCAGATATTCTAAAATTATAGATGTAGTCTATTTTGATGGAAACCTTTGGAGAGGAGCGGGGAGGTCTAGACCGCCTCGCCCCTGTTCTATCACACACAATCTTAGCATTAATCTCTGTCCTGTACAATCTTGCCCAGTGTACCTGTGTACGACCCCAGCCCTAAGACCCACGAGGCTGCAGTGTACCTGTGTACGACCCCAGCCCTAGGACCCACGAGGCTGTAGTGTACTTGTGCACGACCCCAGCCCGAGGACCCACGAGGCTGTAATGTACCTGTGCACGACCCCAGCCCGAGGACCCACGAGGCTGTAGTGTACTTGTGTACGACCCCAGCCCTAGGACCCACGAGGCTGTAGTGTACTTGTGTACGACCCCAGCCCTAGGACCCACGAGGCTGTAGTGTACCTGTGCACGACCCCAGCCCTAGGACCCACGAGGCTGTAGTGTACTCGTGCACGACCCCAGCCCTAGGCCTCATAAAATCATGATACAAAATAATCATCATGGACTATCAGAGGTTAAAAACTCTGGCGATAATAGATCATTACAGAAAGTACATACACGCAAACAAAATATTGTTGTAAAGTGTAAAGCCCAAGCATAAGGCGAAGACAGAGGATTACAGACGAGAGTTTACAGCACTCCAACAGGTACCAAATATCGTTGTGTATCGCGTCTTAACATTCCCGCTGGCGAGAACGTATAACAGCTTCGTGTTCCAGTGTTATATCTGCTAGTATTCAGAAAAAGGAAGAAAATCTTGTTTCGTACCTTAGTGTCATATAACCAAAATTCATTACAAGCAAAACGTGTTTATTACATACCCGAGGAGCCAAAAGTTGAAATCCCTCCAAAAATGTTTGTGTGTGTCGGTCTGTCTCGCTTCTCGAAGTGGACACAGACTGAAGTATTTCTCCATTCCCGGGGTATAAGAGGTAGCGTTTTGATATGCAAATTATTTCCAGTATTTACAAATGTGATATTTCAAGTCCTGAAGCTCAGCGTTTTATTGGAAATTAAATAAAAATATATTTCTCAAAGGGAAAATGTTGAGAGTTTGATTAAGGGGCGTGGTGTATACCTGTCTGTACTTACATAACAGCACATATCTATCCGAGCTTGCAGAACCTGGCCTCACAGTTCCTGGGCCTCACATTTCCAATTTGTCAGTCGGATAATGCAATGACTCCTAATCCCCTTGTTCCATGACATACCAACTTTCCTAAAAGTACGGACAGTGGGACCCCCCTACTATTTCCCCTCTCTACTTTGTTCCACTTGCTTACTGACTGGTCATACTCTGAGGAAATATTTCCTCACCCCCGTGGCTCATAACAGTGTCACGCGCCCATATGCTTGTCCTCGCGTAATGTTATAAACCTCCCAGTGTCGACCTCTTGTTGGTGTACTGACGCGCGTGCGCACTAGCAGGCAGATGTGTGGGCACATGGCTCTTGTTAAGCTGAAGGTGCACGAAATCATACGTAAACAATCGTTATCATATTAGCATGTGTGGGTATGCTGAGGTATTCAAGGCGTGTGGGTATGCTGAGGTATTCAACGGTGTGGGTCTGCTGAGGTATTCAAGGCGTGTGGGTCTGCTGAGGTATTCAAGGCGTGTGGGTATGCTGAGGTATTCAAGGCGTGTGGGTATGCTGAGGTATTCAAGGCGTGTGGGTATGCTGGGGTATACAAGGCGTGTGGGTATGTTTTGGCGAAAAATCCTGCGTTAAGGACGAGAGAGAGATAAAAGGTGCTCACGACTGAGAAAGGAGTGTGGGCGTGTGGAGAGTCAAGAGAGGAAAGGGCGCGAGACAGAGAACGTGGGCGTGTGGGCGTGGTGATACTGGGATGAAGGCGCTCGGGTGAGAGGGTTGAGGAAGTGGAGAGGGCGCGCGGGTGAGGAAGATAGAAGGGCGCGCGGGTGAGGAAGATGAGAGGGCGCGCGGGTGAGGAAGATGAGAGGGCGCGCGGGTGAGGAAGATGAGAGGGCGCGCGGGTGAGGAAGATGAGAGGGCGCGCGGGTGAGGAAGATGAGAGGGCGCGCGGTGTGCGGGCGTGTCATCGAGGCGTCAAGAGTGATGCCTCATCTCTGGTCTATGATAAACTGTCGTCCGGTATGTCATACATTATTCATGCCGGATGAGCCAAAAGATTGACAGAGCGAGATATCTAGAAAACCATGCCGGCAGGAGGGCGGAAGGGGGACGGGGGATCTTGAGAAGGGACAGAAGAGATGGGGAATGGGAAGAGATGGGGAAGGGACAGGATGGAAAGGCGAGACATGAAGGAAATGTTACAAGAAGGCAAATTAATAGGAAATCATAGTGCACATCGGATAATCGGCAGTCTGCTTGGAGGACTGGTGCAGCTTAACTAGGAAATTTTGACGATATAGACAGGATGACTGCTATATAGGCACAAGAGACAGGAAGACAGGATGACTGCCAGGCACAAGAGACAGGAAGACTGCCAGGCACAAGAGACAGGAAGACTGCCAGGCACAAGAGACAGGAAGACTGCTAGGCACAAGAGACAGGAAGACTGCTAGGCACAAGAGACAGGAAGACTGCTAGGCACAAGAGACAGG